CCGGGGCAGCCTTGAGTCTCTCGGGTAGAAAAGGCCAATAATTGTGAAGATAAAAAATCCACATTGATGAGGTTCAATTTTGCTTATTTGTTTTCCTTATTTTCGTAATGCTGTTTTAATTTTGTGCGTATCTGCGCTAGGCGGACGCTGGGGATCATAAAGTAATATTTTTGAAATAGAAATGTATTTGTTATTATTTCATAATTATTTAGAGATTCACCAGATGAACTCTATAAAAGCAGATAAACGCCGTTTTGAGAATCCAAAAAATTGAGGTTGTAGGATAAAAGAGCTCGTTGCGTATACTCCGCTCATTCTTGGCGGTGTGTGACAACGGAAGATCTTAGAAGCAGTGGCGGCGCGGCAGGAGGCGCTAGGGACACCTGCCCCCCCCCGTACTGAGATCAGTATTTTCCCCTTAGCGTTGTTCTAAAATAATCTCTGTGGGTTGTAGGAATTGGTTTTCGAATCGAACACATCTTAGTTTCAAAACTCCCGCTTGTTTCCGTAGAAACGATTTTCATTGGCTGCGGACACGTCAGCTCTGTGTCCTAACGCAGTGTTGTTACGGAACTTACACGACATAGAAATGCTGCCAATGAAGTGTTGAAATGGCAAACATGGGTTTCGCCAAATGGTGTTTATGAACGGCCGCCACCAGCCATAGAGGAGAGATACAACTAGAGTGGCGCGGGAACCTATTGCGCAGGTTTTCAACAGCGGCAGGCAGCAAGTCACTGACTTTGGCCACACACCAGCTTGTTTTGCGTTTTATTGTGTGTACTTTGGTGTGCTGTTTGTTATTTTGGTGCTCAGCATTATTTTTGGGGGCACAACCAGTTTAGCCAGGATCAATCCTGGAAATGTTTTCAGAATGCATATGGAACAAAGGCGGGATTCACACATAATCCTATTGCTTAAGCAATTTGGCTGAGGCTTACAAGCGATTACTAGGTGAAATTGTAGTATATTGGAGATTTGTAATAAAAAAATGGAAATGCCACTTGCTTGTTTTGACTGTACGAATAGTTCTTTGCTGGACTAATAGTGATGAAGGATCATATTCGCTTCATTCAGAGAAAGGATATCATGGTCTGAAAATACCCTCTGCAGAGTGAAAATCTGGAACAGACCAAGTAGAAGTAAGAATACTTCAAGGGAGAGGTGACAGTTTTAAAAGGGCAGCTTACACGTAGCAATTGTAAATAGATGTTTTGAGAGAAATTGGAAATAATCGGTTTTTGTAATTAACTTATCATTAATAAGAGGCTGCTGAATCATTGATGTATTGATTAAGGAATATTATTTAAATTTGAAAATTAGTTAAACGAGTAAAAACCGTTTTGGTAAAAATTTACCAGAAAAATAAATTAAATCGTTAACAATAAAATTATTTTATTTAGAGGGCATTAATGTGTGTGTATTTATTGATGTTTAATATTATATGGTGTTAGTATTATATATTTACTTGTGTCAGTTATGTCTATAGTGGTTAGTAGTATAATTGGTGTTTTAGTTTTGTATGATTGTAAATATTTGATTTTTATTAGTAAATCCTTTGAAAATATGTATTTCAGCTTCCGGGGGCAAAGACCCCTTTCGATCAGGTTTTTGTCCAATTTCCCTGATCCATTGAGGGCAAATGCTGAGATGGCCGCCTTGTTTTTGCTCTGGCGTAAAATGTAGCTGCACTATGCGCATCTTTTTGTTGAGCATCCTTTCCTTGTAGTGGTAGGAGTAAAGTCAATGTTTTGATCTGTTTTGTCAGTAAATACAAACAAAAAATAATAATAAAAATAACTGCAATTTGTTTATCTATGCAAGTAGTTTTGTATATCTTTGGAGGGAAAAATGTCTAATTCTATAGTTGAATGTTGGGGAGAGATTTTTGAGGCTCAAGAAAATGTGTGATGGTACTTTCTCCTCCG